TTGACAAGGGCCGTAAAAGAGTAATTAACATTTATCAGTGTGTTTTTTACACACATCCCCACCTTCCTCCCCGACGCGAAGCGGCATTGGGTATCGGGGGGGATATAAAAGAGATCAATTAATTTTTAATAATCTCGGGGAAAGATTGTAGAGTTGAGGTATGAACTCAGGGAGTGTCAATAAATGTGCCAAAGGTTGGCCTGGTATCTGGGCTTCCTACCACCCCCCTTCTTCACATGCTGTTCAGAGGGATGGAGATGGCAGTGGGGGCAGGGAGTGGGGAGACAGACTGCTACTTCTATCACCATGGCTGGGCTTGGTTCCCTGCTCCTTCGCCATTTATCACACTGCGCAGCGGCCCATTTATCATCTCATTCAACACATGCTCCCTACCCCAGCTGCTCCAGGGACAAACCTCTATGCCCCCAGGATGTGATGGGAGAAAGCAAACTGCCAGGCGAGCTGGTCTCACTGCCTTTTCTCATGTAATGCAGCAAGGGGGTCAATTTGAAGGGGAAAACCCAAACACAAACTCCACCCACAATCCCAGACTCAGCCCACAGTCTCAGTCGTTGAACATTTCTGCTAAAATGATCAGAGTCGTTAAAAATGTCAGCGCTGCTCTAGTCTTCTTGATCGTTAACTGTAGAACTATTCCACAATACAAGCATTATTACACAACTGTCATTAGGGTTCAGAGTTAACGACATTGAGAGACGCTTACACTTCACTTCTGATCTGATCCTGGGAGGTGCCGAGCATCCTCAGCTCCCCTGGGACTGTTCTGCTACAGCAGAGGCGGGGTGCCAGACTAGATGGGCAACTGCTCTGTTCCAGTGCAGCAAGGGGCCAGAGAGTGGAGGAGATGGACCATTGGTCTGCTATGGGCTATTCCCACCTGGAACAGGGCAAGCCCTGCATTACAATCCTCTCCGCCCCAGGCCCACCCAGCACCTCCTGGTGGAAGCTGCTGCTAAGAGCAAGGTGGTGATTCAAGAGCTGCTGGAGGGACCATCAGGACTCCATTCCCACACCCGCTTCCTGCACCAACCCCAGGCCATGCCAGGGAATCGGCACTTCTGGAGACCTAAATCCAGGCAGCCTTTGGAGCAGCTCAGCTTTGAGCCCGAAGCACAAGCCCCTTGTGTGTGTGTGCGCGTGTGTGTGTGCGCGTGTGCGCTAGTCCCCTCCCCCCCCCCCCATGTGGGGGGAGTGGAAGGGCCCTCTGTGCGTATGCGGGGGAGAGATTGAGAAAAGGGCCTGTGGCTGGTCTGTGGGGCAGAGGGTCCTGGAGCCCCACAAACAAATGCTCGGGATGATGAATTCCCAAGAGGCCTGAGACTGTCCGGGCATCTGCTCTGGACAGAAACAAATTTTCCCTGTCGAATGTAATGACCCAGAAATAAGCAATGAAGTGGGGTCTGGAGCCAGGGGGTCTGGAGCATCTCTCCCCTGGCTGCCCCCGGCCCGAGCACAGCGCCTGCACGAGCAGCCTCACCCCCTTCCCGCTGCTTGGACTCCTCTGTGCCAGGAACCGCACCCACGGGCCGCTCGATGGAGCAGACAAGCACTTGGGACGGGAAGCTGGGCAGGTGTGTCTAAATTCAGCTCCCTCCTGTCTAGCTGGATGGGCGTGGGATGGGAGGGCTGGGCGGGAAGGAAGGCCAGGCAAAGTGGAAGATAAAAACTGCCCCCCCGGCCTGACCCTTTTTCTAAGGCCAACTGGGGGACTGCGTGGGCTCGGTGGGCTGCTTTGTTCAGCCCCTCTCTGCCTGCGGGGCCCCTGGGGTGTGAGGCTGACATGACTGGAGCCTGCCCAGGAGAGACAAGGGCGTGGATGGGGTGAGGTAATCTCTTTTATTGGACCAATTTCTGTTGGGGAGAGAGACAAGCTTGCGAGCTACAGAGAGCTCTTCTCCAGGTCTCCCTCGCCAACCAAAGCTGGTCCGGTAAACGAGATCACCTCACCCAGCTTGTCTCGCTAATATCCTGGGCCCAACACGGCTCCAACAACCCTGCAAACAACTGCTTGACACTGGACGGTCCTGCGACCCCCGGCAGGGTTCCCGGCTCCAGGAAGTGCTGGCAAAGCTCCTGGAAGAGGGGGTGGTGCTAGCGCAGTGACCCGACAGCGGGCAGCAGCCTCGGCCGCTGGCAGGGAGCAGAGCAGAGAGGGAGCTCAGCTGGGAGGAGGCCCCCTCGATGCGTCAAGGCTCTTGGGGAGCAGCTGCAGAAAGCCCTCGCTCCTTGGCTTCCTGAGGGGAGAGCGCCAGCCCCCAGCAGTCTCTCAGGGCCAGGCTCTCAGCAGCGCTACCCTCGGGCCTGCCTCAGACAAGGAACTAACTGAACGTGGCCGGGCCTTGCCCACCAAGGGAAGCGCCCGCCGTGGTAGGCAGCCGATCCCACTCATCACGGGCAGGAAGGGATGATAAAGATGACTGCACAGGCTCCCGGGGTGAAAAGGGAGTCAGGTTCCGGAGGATGGTTTCCTGAGCAGGGCCCAGAGAAGGGGTGAGAGACTGCCTGGCTCTGGGGAGGAGACATTAACAGCCCAGCACCATGCTCTGCCCTACTCTAGGACCTTCCTTGTGCAGAGCTCCAAGCGCTCTAGGGAACCTGATGATCACAATGATGATATTATCATCCCCATTTCACAGCGGGGGAAACTGAGGCACAGAGGGTTGACAGGATTTGCTCAAGGTCATACAGGGAGTCAGTAGCAGAGACAGGAATAGCCCTAGTAGACCTGACACTGGCTGCACTGCTCTCATCTCTAGAGACCCCGGCCTCCCAGCATGGGGTTCTCTCTGCTGCATTACCCCAGTTTTTATTAGTGAGAGTTGCTGGCTAAGATGTCCCTGACGGCACCCACAGCCAACCAGCCAGGGCCCCACTGTGTACCCCAAGCCCACCTGGTGGAAGGGTCAGCACAGCTTTCGTCCCTGTTCATTGCTCAGTGGCTGCTTGAGGATGGAGAGAGCTTATCTAGTGATTAGCACACAGCACTGGCTGCAAAGAGCTCAGGACTTACGTGAGCAGGTCACGGCCCTGCTCTGTGCCTCAGTTTCCCCATCTGTAAAATGGAGATAACGGTACTGGTCCATTCCCCAGAGGTGCGTTGTGAGGCTATTACCTGACCCATCAGAGGCTGCGTGACCGGCTAAACGGGGCACGACAGGGCCACTCGCCACTGCTACACCTCTGGCTGCAGCTACGTCCCGACAACGGCTGCTCACTCCTGCCTGCAAGGGCTCAGCTGTGTCTGTGTCAGTCTGTTTAAACATCGTCTCCTCCCTCGGAGACCCCAGAGACCTTGAGCTGGTGGGTGGGATTCCAGTGTCTCTGGGATTCATCACTGCATCTCCAGAGCTGATCGAACCACACTTTGGACAAGGCCTCCAAAGGAGAGGAAGGCTGATGGAGCGGATTAGAGCAGGGAACTGGGAGCCTACTCTCAGCTTGGGAGGGGAGTGGGTTCCAGTGGTTGGAGCGGGGGAGAGGGCTGGGAGCCAGGACTTCTGAGCTCCATCCCAGCTCAAGGAAGAGAGTCAGTCTGGTGATTATAGCAGGTGGCGCTAGGAGCCACGACTCTTGGATTCGAGTCCTGATGGCCAGCCTTGGCCACCTCACTTCCCCTCTTTGTGCCTCAGTTTCCCCCATCAGGACTATGGAGATAATGATACTGCCCCGCCTAGCCAATGGCCGGTTGAGGCTCCCCCTGTGAGAGCTCCACTCAGGACATGTGAGTTTAAAAGGCCACAGACAACCTCGCGAGCACGGGGAAATTGTCGAGTCCCGCTGAGGACTGGCCATGTTCTGAGGGTTTCAATTGGAACAGTAGGGGTCACGGAGCCAGGAAGAGGACCGGTGTTTTGCTGCTGGGGTTGGGAGCAGGGTCTGCCCTCCCGCAGACTGCTAAGAGCCACCCTGATCTCTCCTGCCTGACCCCTCCTGCTGCAGGCTCCTGGCCGATACCTCAGGGCGGGGGAGGCGGGGGCGTGTGGACTGCACCAGAAGTGAGAACCCCAAGGGAGCTGGAAGGGGGGGATCTGGGGGAACCCTTCGGGCTCACCGGCGGGAACAGAAGCGACGAGGAAGGTGGCGTTCCATGGGGGGCAGGTGCGGGTAGGCCAACGGACTCATCTTTAGTGCTCCAAGGGGGAAAGTGCAGAGAAGGGAAATAAAACGGGGAAGCCAGCATTCCGGGCACACAGGCCCTGGCGCTGGCTCGGGTCACAGGAGAGCGGGGCTCTGTTCCTGGCGCTGCTACAAATGCCACGCATGGCCTGGGGCAGACTGTGTCACCTCTCGCAGTGCTCCGCCCATGAAATGGGGCTGCCTTCCTGCCCGGCCTCATGGCTGGGGGCGGGGGGTCAGACTCCGTTCCTTGATGGCGGAGGGGTGCTTAGATGCGACAGGAATTCCCAAGATTTAAGAGGATTCGGATACTATCAAATGAACAGAAGTGCTGTGATGATTCCCTCTGTGTCTGTCCTTGCACACGGTAACAGAGAACCCTATTCAGATGTATTTTTAGTTTTGTCTCTTTCTGTTTCCCGTGTCTCCCAGTCAACTAAGACAATGTTAAAACTAATAACAAACTCCTGCCCAGCCATTTTGTAGGGTTCTTTGACTCCAGACCTATTAGGATTTTGGTCATGCTTTAATGATGGTTCCCTTTATAAGTAGTTGACAAAGGGTGAATAAATGATATTACAGGCGTGTTACCGATAGGAGCAGCATGTGTGATACACGGCTATAAGCACATGAGTAGAAGCTGCCACAGTGAGTGATAAGCTATGATTATAATAAACCTGTGACCTCTTGGACTCTCTAACGACAGATTAACCATTAATTAAAACGGCTATTAATCATTATTAACCCCTTGTAAGCTAGTTATAAACGGAAGTACGACCAGGAAGTGTCTCTTTCTTTCTTACTTTTTTCAAGTTTGTCTCAATAACAACAACAACAAGAAGAATAAAATAATGAAAACTTACAGAGGGGCAGAGCTAAAACCATGCGGTGGGTGGTGGTCGCAGACGCTTGTGGCCCTCTTTGGCTGTCGCTTCTATCTGGCAATCAATTGACAAGAAATTGAGATTATGAAATATTGCCACTGTGACCGGAGGAGGAGGGTTTAGTTCCCAAGTTCAAGGAGGAATTGCCACTCCCATGTTGGAATAATTAACAATTAACATCAGCTAAAGGAGCGAAAGGGTTCCCTAGCTATTAACCGTGCCTGCCGGGGAGCCAGTGTCCACTGCACAGATGGGACTTCTGGGAAACGAAACATGAAGGCGGAGTTTCCCCAATGCACAAATCCCATTGACCTTCACAGGTGCCCAGCCAGCATTTGTGGCTGTGAAAATCTGTGCGAATCCTTCCAAGATTAAAGAGATTTCCCAGCGATAGGCACCTTAGCAATGTCATCAGAGACTGGGTGGGCAGAGAGCTAGGGGAGAGAGGGGGGCGAGAGACAGGCAGACACAGATCTAAGGACACTCGGAGGAGAGCAGAAGTGGTGGGTTAGGCTGGTGTTACCTCTCTCTCCCTGTTGGACTAAGGAACCCCAGGCCCCAGGGGGTCAGACCCTCAGAACCCTCATCTCCATCCATTTGTGTGTGTGCTGGGCCCTGCTTGAGTGTGGGGCACGGAACTGGAAGCATGACCGTGCGTGGCGACAGGAGTGCGGCATGTGTGTGACCCTGTGTGTGAAGCCTGTTGCATAACAGCCTCGGGGGGCTCACTTCCTGAGCCCTTGAGCCGTTGAAGCCTCAGAAACCACTAAGTCCCAGTTGGGTTAGGAACTGCCGTGGGGCCTGTGCTTCCTGCAGGTGCCCTGGGCCCATGAATCACACCTTGTCAGGGATCTGGGCCTGGGGCTTTGCAACCGCCAGCTGGAGCGAAGAGGAACAGAGCTGTGTGCAGCCTGCAGCCGCCGGGCGGCCCATTGCTGTTCTGGGGCTCCTCCGAGGCAGGCTCTCCAGCCAGGCCAGGGAAGGGTTAAGCAGGCATTAATCACGCTCTCTGAGAGACGTTTCAAAGCCTCTTCCAAATATTATAAAAAATGTCTTTAATCATCTAATTGCGCGAACTTTACTGGTGATGGATGGGGAGATTTCTCCTCTCTCCTCCTGATCCGAACAGATGAGGCTGGAGAGCCCCTGCTCTGGGGAGGCTATGGGGGGGGAGGAGAAAAGGACGTTTCTCAGCCTCCCACCAGAGCAGTTATAAATATGAGGTCATACAGCGAGAGATGATAACGCATTAAGGGCTCTTGAGATATTAGTCTGTCAGCCTCGTTAGACAGAGCTATTTGGGGCTGACTGCATAATTAGAGGCTGGGGTACCCATAACTCACTGGTGTTTATATGGCAGGAAGGGGCTTCGCTTACCATCACCCTTTGCACACTAAGTCATCTTGCAGCAGGCATCAAATTCCTCTCCCCTCCGCAAAAACCATCAGATTCTCGCTCCCCTGGAACAGCCACTCCCCGCCCGCCCCGAGGAAGACGCGCTCCTCCACCAGACTTTGCCCTTCCAGTAAACGCCTGGGGCTCTGCATCTTCAATGCACTGCACAAACACTCCTTCTCACAACTCACCCGTCTACAGGTGGGGAAACCGAGGCCCAAGGAGGGGCAGGGCCCACACTTACCCAGGGAGTTTGTATCAGAGCCGGGAGGAGAACCCAGGACTCCTGAGGCCAAGCCCCTGTGGCTCACCCACCAGGTGACCTGACAGGAGGACACACGGGAACGGCGAGGAAATCCCCAGCAGTATGTAAGAGAAATTCCCCACCTCAGCTCTGGATGATACGACCCACTAGGAAAATGGACCCCCCGCTCCAGGCCTCAAACAGAGGCCTGAAGTCACCATCTCCAAAGGCCTCACAAAGTGGGCTGATTTGCCTTGCTGTCCCATGTGTGTGACCTGAAGGCAGCTTCAGACTGTGATCCCCAGCGCTTCCCTGGGAAGGGTTTGGGAAGGGTAGTGCAGGGAAAAGCTGGAGGGGTAGGCGCTCAGATCCCACAACGACAGGCATCGTATGGGAACCGGAACAGAACAGAGGGAAAGGCAAGAGCTGCTCTGCTGATGGCTCTCAGTCCTTACCCAGCCCTGAGCACTACACACACACCGCTTTGCCAGTGCCTCTCAATCCCGACCTGCACCTTTCCCCCACCCTCAGCCACGCTCGGCTGCCCAGGATGCTCACTGGTGTGGACAAATCTCTCTGAGGAGCTGGGTTGAGACTAATCAAACTCACTGTAACCACAGCAAAGTTCAACCGCAGCTCTGCAGAAGTGAAAGCCTGGTGCATTCTGCACAGCACCAGGGCTCTCCCACCCAGAATAGGGATGAGCCCTAGAGGACTCTGAGTGCCCCCCGAGCTGACAGGCCCAAGTGCTAAGAGGAGTTTGCCAGGCAGGCCACGTGAGGGAGGGTAACCGTGGAGGAGCTGGGCGTCCAGAACTTGCATAGGTTTCTCCTCGCCACCAGAGGATCAGCCCAACGTCACGAGCTGCGAGCTGAAGGGACGCTTCAAAACCAGCGCAGTGAAAAATAAAACAAGTGAAACAGGGAAGAGGTGCGTTTTCGTTCTGGGTCCATGCAGAGGCAGGGCACCGCGCGGCGAGGAACAGAGACTGCAAAGCACACAGGACTTGTGCTAACCCGCCTCCACCCCGGGGATAATGCACAGACATTCACACCGCCAGGCTCCCGACATGAGCCGTACGTACAGAGAAGGAAGCTAAGGCACAGGGAGGTGAAGTGACGTGACGTGGCCAAGGTCACAGTGACTCCAGAGGCAGAGCTGGGATGACAGCTCTCACAGCTACCTCTCATCAGCTAGGCCGCTGAGGGGCCGGCATGGCCAGGTTTCACCGGTCTGGGCTGAAGAATGGAAGACACTTGATATCTCATGAGCTGATCTCTTGGGAGCTGCTGGATGGACCAACAAGGAGGAAACCACAGGGGCCCAACACATGTGTGATCTCACTCTGCTGGCGTCACTGAGCCAGTTTTCCACTTGTAGTGACCTCTCTGAAGTCAACAGAGTGACCCAGCACAGCCACTCAGGAGACAGGGGCAGGCTGGGGATAGAACTCCCACCCCAGCTAAGTAGCGTTGATGTCACCCGACGGAGGGCAGTCGGACCAGCCTGTGAACTCAACATGAAGAGGCGATGTTCCCCTGGGACTGCTGACCTGGAGTGGGAGATGGGGTCAGCACCTGCCATCTTTCCATCGGAACACGGCCCAGCCGTTACCCTCCCATCCCCGCCTGAGGCCTCTGGCACTACTGGCGCGGAAATGATAAGCGAGGTGCGTGACAGCACCCTCTAGTGGCTGCTCCACAGAGAGGATACAGGACCTGCTACTAGTGCCAACAGAGGGAGATCCCCGTTACCTGGAGAAGCCGCAGCCTGTGCTTTTGGAGCTGCAGGGACCATGCTGACACTGCTCAGTTTCCAGCCTTACCCATGAAGCTTCCTCATCCCTGCTCTCAGCTTTCCAAATGCCTCATGGGAGGGGGCAAGGGGTCTGGTAACCCTGTGGCTTCCTGGGCTGAAGCAGGATAATGAATCCTGATGGGAGAAGTGACCTTTTCCAAATGCCACATGCCATTGGATTGTATATCACACCCGGACAATGTGCCATGGGTATTAAAATCGTTTTTCCAATAGCGGTTTGTGTGTGTGAGAGAGAGAGAGAGAGAAAGCGAGAGGGAGAGATGTGGGGAAAATAAAATTAAGACATGAAAATGAGGATGCCTCTAACGCACAGCCTTCAGCGCAGACCAGGGTCCTAGCCAAGCAGAATTGACCCAAACGCTTCACGCATGTGACTCTTGAGACCTAGGATGATCCCGTGGTTAGAGCACAGGGCTGGGTGTCAGGATACCTGGGTTCTTTTCCTAGTTCTGCCACAGACAGAATAATTGTGCATACGTGCGTATAGTTTACACTCGGGGCAACTCGCTTCCCCCTCTCTGTGTGCCCCAAAATGAGCTGGAAAGTCTTGCAAAGCCTTCCAACTCCATAAGCTTTCCCTGTCCTTAACAGATGCATATGCAGTGTGCAGAAGGTATGCACGCTTGCACAAACGTGCACCGAGTGTAAACTATACGCACGTATGCACAAGCACATGCATACATGAGCATTATTGTGTGCTGCACACGCTCAGGAAAAGCAGAATCGTCCACGGTAGCAAAATCCAACATATTTTGACTCACCTGGGTTTTAAGAAAGTAAATATACTCCACCCCAGTATAAATATATTTATATAGACTATTTTCTGTCTATACACAGATACACACACACACACACACACACACACACATACACACACACACACACGCAAGGACAAATTCCCATGAGAAAACACAATACGAAAGGGAGGCACTGGGAGCCAGCTTGTTCCCTCGATCTGCAGAGCAATTGTCCGGCTGAAATAACAACACTGGGACGAAAAAAAGAAAAGAAAAAGGGACAAGCGGTGTTTGTTTACTCAGCTTCTTTCTCCCCTCACCCCTCGACAATGCCCTGACACCGTGTCCTGCCGCGCCGGGGCTGCAACCCCAACAGGCTAAATTTATCCCAGCTGGAGCGCTGTTTACAAGCCTTGTCCTGTTCACAGTGCGCTCCATCCTGCCCAGAACCAGCCGCAGGCGTTTCACAAGCCGCGCAGTCCGTTCACCCCTCGTTCTGTCTCTGACTTCCCAGGAGGGGTGGAGGGACAAGGCCGAAATGGAATGCTGATGGGCTTTCGAAGGGAGTCCGAGACACAGGGGCAATGTGAACAGCAGACACCGTGTAAGCAAGGGCAGCTAAACTGACCTGTGGAAGGGACCCAGGTGTCCTGTTCTTAAGTGATGTTGGAGCATTCCAACCTTAATGTTTCTGTCTTTACCTTTTTAGTTCGGGATCAGATTCTGCTCTCTGCGTGTGACAAGGTGCAAGCAGACTGCCCCGGAAGGCCTCTCTCTGCCTGCGCGACGCGGCGCTCTGCCAAATGAACCTCCCCAATTGCCTGGCTGAGCCGCCCAACTGGGGGTGCTGCCGTGGCCCG